GTGTATCTGCTAACTGTCCCTTCTGACTGTGCTTTTTATACAACATTGAATGGTCATAGAGTACAAAAACCACTATTTTTTTTTCTAGCCAGTACAATAGATTTTGGATAAAAGCAAGGAAGACCCACTCTGATGTCACAACTAATATGGTCCTACTAGTAATGGTGATCTGTCCACAGCACCATTTGAATTAATCTTTCTATGCTAGAAAGGCGTAAGGTGGATATCAGGTACCAAGCTTTGGGTATAACTCACAGCAGGTGTAGAACTGTATGTTCTATTCTGCTCATGAAGAAGCAAAATTGCTTCTGACAGGTTCTTAGGGATACCAGGCAAAGTACTTGTGGGTAGGCCAGCAGCCACATACACAAAGAACAGAACTCACCCAACACTCAAGTGGCTGTCTGGCCATGCAGCACCTCTGCTCAGGAAGCAACCCAGACTCAAGAGAAGCTCTACCCTACATGGCTGACCCTTATGTAAGCCTAGGGTGGCTCCACCCCTTCTGCTTACAGGGGGAACAGGTGCAAACAATTTGGCTGTGCCCCCCTGGGCCAGCCACACTCCTTCACCAGGTGCTCAGTCACCAGTTCAAGGCACAACTGTTAGTTCCTCTTCGTGCTCTGAGTCATATGTGTGTGACAATCAGAGTAGTCAAAAAAGTTCAAATGCATTCTTAACAGGAGTCAGTATTACAAGATAACAAACTTACTTTTTCTTACTTAATTTTTTTTCCATGGTAAAGTACACGCCATTCTTTATTTTGCAAATACACTTCAAAATACTGGGCAGAAACTGTTTTGATGTTCTCTATCATCTGAATTGCTTTTTATGTTATTTTAAGTGTCTAATGCATTTTTTTTTCTGTTCCTGGACTACTACAGAATCCACATATTGGAAAACACACCTACATATGCGGTGTATGTAAGAATACGATTACCCATATAACACATCCATTGTGTGTATATACATATGTACAGACATCCATCTGGTGCACACATCAGAGTGTATTACATTACTTGAAACACTGAAGGTTAATTGTTGGCTGCAACAGACTATTACTGAGCTTCCCTGTTAAATGCCTGCCATGCAGTGTTACTCATTTACCTATGCACAGCTGGAAGAACATCTCTGCAGTGAGGAAACGACACTGATTTCAGTGAGACCTGCACTTTGCCAAGACTTTGTAAAGCAAAACCAAGAAGATTCAGAATTTGGCATACACCTTTGGGTACTCTGTTATCTTTGATACTAGAAGCATGATAATACTACATACTGAAAATGTTACAAAACGTGGCTTGATATAAACACCTCAACTGAAGCTTATTTATTTTGGAACATCATTTTGAGTCATTTTCCCATTTTTATATATTGGGAGTCCCAAACCGTCATGGCACAAATAGTACCTCACAACCAGTCCCCACTTCAAAGAGACAAAGTTTGACCAAGCTAGATGGTCTATCAGCAGTATTTCTTTTAAAAATAATCGCAGGTTTAGAAATCGGATCCCAGACTTCTTAATATATTGCTTCTTCTCATTGAAAATTTTTAGCTTACTGTACAAAATAAAAATACAGAGAGTGATGAACTTCAAAGTTAATATTAATTATTTCCTCAGCATGATTATGTGGTTTTGGTTTCCTCTTAAGTATAGGCAGCAGAATTGCCACTACGTAAAATGAGTTCGAATAGGCAAGAAAATAAGCAGTGATTTCAAAGATATTTTACAACAATGTTTTATTTTATTAAATATGAAAGAGCATAGATACAGGTGTTATTTTGAGGACATAAATTACACAAGGATTACACAATCTGTCAAAAGAACACAATAATGAAACATCTTTACATTTTGAACTTTTCTGCTTAGCTTTTAACAAACGTGTCTATTTCTGTTGCAAATAAGTAACGAGTGCTATTGAACTTCTGCAAATTCCCACAAAATCATGCTTAGTAGGATACTTAAAATGCTGTAAAGATGAAATCAGAATTAGATTTCTAAATAACATGATGGAAGAGATCTACTTAAGATAAATGACACACTGAAATAGGAGTTGAGACAAAACTGGTCATTTATGAAAAAATATATATATTCCATTTTATTTAGACATTACATTTGAATCTGCTTTCTTTATCTGCAGGAATAGTCGCTGTTGTTATATGCATGAGCAATGAGCAGAACTGGCCCTAAATATTTGTAAACGTAGCAGCCAAATTTTAGATGTGCTGGTTTCCTATTTCACCAATCCTTCCAAAGAAGAAAAAACATGAATCTATTTGCTCACATTTCAGCAGGTTGAAATAGCGCTCCTCTGCAGAGGGGCAATCAAGTCTACACGTGATCTCCATATTCATCTGTGCAGGGGACTACTGCATCCTAGACATGTAATTGGGGCAATCACTAAATGACCAGACTGAGCAGCCACTGGCAAGGGAGAGAATATTAGTTTGTTAAAATCCTAAAACATTATCTTTTAAAACTTCAGGAAAACAGGAATGTATATTTAATATAATGAAAGATCTCTGTTTGACATTCAGAAGACTACTCACATAAAATACATAATAAGCATGAAATTTGGCTTGTGTTCATAGGGATTAGCCAAGGTGCTTCAATGTATTACCACAAACATTAACTGAGTGAGACGGACAAGCTAATGTTACCACAGTATATAATTTTCAAAAGGAGCAATGAAACACAGTTTCTAAGAACCATAACTGCTGTAATTAAGGGTTTCACATTTACTTCTAAAACCAGAGAAGTGGGGTAATGTTCTTGGTAGCCAAAACATTTTGCAAAAATACAGCATGAACCTGCAAAAACTAGAATACACAAGCAGTCCCAGTGACCTCCAAGGTGAGCATTCTCATACGGCAAAGAGCTGCAGGATTGCCTTTGCTTGTTTTTTTTCAAAGAATGCTCAATAAAAGTGCAATATAGTGAAGCAAATAATCTGATTATTAGGATTTATTATTAAATGAAATATGTTCAGACATTTCATATTTGTGCCTTTTGTAGAGCAGGCATTCTGGTGCGGGTAGAGTCATACCACATTAGAAGAGATGGGCAGGGTGCACCCACACGTTTCACAGTGTGGTAACACTCCCAGAGTAGTTCCATTATATAATCCCATCAACAGGTAAAAAAACATTGTGCTGCTCAGTTTCACACTGTGATTTCCATTTTTGATAAGCACTGACATTTGTTTTGCTTCTCATTCCTACTCAGGCATTTTCTTCCCCTTTTAGCTTCTAGGCACTCACTTTCCCCACCCAGCCTCTTTTCTTCCTGAGATGTCAGAAGTATACACAACAAGCTTTGGAACCTGAGAATTTGGAGGTATCTTGAGACTACAGGGCTGCATTTGTATCATACCATGTTATCTCCTAATATACTATTGCAGTTACAATATAAATCTTCTAACTAGTTGATACACAATGCCTTTCCCGTAGAAGTAATAATAAAAAAAACCAACAACATACCATTCAGCCACTAACATGAGACACCTGCTGTAAGAGTGACGTTTACCTTTGGTAAGTCCTCTTTTCCAAACAAATTTTGAGGGATAATTTCCAAAAGTACTACTATGAAATACTCCTTGAAGTAAACAATTAACACAGTAAAATAAAGAAAAAATATGTACATAAAATAACACTCTCTCAAAATTAAAACATATATACAATGAAAAAAAGATTGAGATTTTTCCTAATTCTTTTATCAGTTCTGCATTATCTTTAGATAAGCAACACTGTTACAAAGATAACACTACAAACAGGAAAACAAACCTAGTGAAGTAAGTTGAAAAGTTGTAGCTTTTTAAATTCTCTTGAGAAGTCAAGGAAATTCAGCATTCTACTTCATTATTAAATTTTAATTAAGGTAGTAAGAGTCCTGGTGTGATGAGCAGTGTTTCATACAGAGGAATGGGAAAGGCAGCTAAGGATCCCTCCATGGAGCATCAAATAGAAAAAGTTCTGCCTCCAAGAACCTAAGATTTACAAGTTAAGGAAAAGCCTCAAAGGCAGAGCAGCAACTTTCAGGTCTTTCCAAGACTTCAAGAAATCATTTAGTAAATAAGTCTGTTTTTTTTCTAAATTTAATTTGAAGCCCCAACTACGACTATCATAAGAGTTCCCTAACAATTAAGACAGCTGAATCTTACTTGAAAGCCGTAATTGCCTTTGTATTCCTGTGAAGCTTTGGAAGTCAGCTTTGGAATGGAAAATAATCAACATACTCTTAAAAAGATATGGAATATGATTGTGATTATAAGCAGAAACCGGTGTGAAATTCATTTTCAACAACAACAACAACAACAATACAGAAAATTTCCCAAATGTTGACTTTTCACCAATTTATGTTTTACTCATAGCTATTCCAGACAGTACCAGTTTCCCATTCAAAGTAGTTCATCAGAATAGATTAAGTTTAATATATTCTCTGTGGTTTTGAGTATCCATGACTTAGATCCTTCAATGGGCTCTAGCAAGCCATGGCACCGCACCTGTCATCACCTCTGGCTACAAATGATTTCCACAGATGGGATTCAACAGTGAACTCACTATTTATCCTTCCTGTTCTATGATTTGTTTTATAGTTCTTAGTGGGTTGTATTATTTTAATACTTGTAATAAATTCAATGCTGTTCTTTAGCAAAGCTGAACTTGAACCACAGCTGTAATGCACATACACAGACTTCTAAAATTTACAAGCTCGGTTTTAACAAACTGCAACAAAAATATTAAAGCTGCATAAATATTATCTGCATGTTCATTTTCTCACCATAAATGTAAGCTGAAAAGATGGCAATAAGTGTTACTTAATTTCACATATTAGATCTAAACTAAAGAAACACTTTTCTGGATTAATGATAGTTAACTTACAAATTTTGGACAATCGGTGAGCCCACATGAGCTACTTTCAGCATTCCTTCCTGTCAGTAGTTAGAATTTGTGATGACATTAATATTCTTACATTGCGTGCTGTGGAATGCTTGGTCAAGAGCTTGTTGGTTTGTGTTCTTTTTTTTTTCTCCCTTTTTTTCTTATTTAACTGAAGTCTAATTCATATCTTCCATGAGAAAAGTTAATTGGACTGGGGTATTTATGTGCAGGTGTAAATATTTTAAAAAGAAATGTTATTCCACACATAGAACATTCTAGGGATTGGCCCAGCATCAAAAACTTAATTCCATGACTATTCTGAATCGTTGCAGTTTTTGAAAAGGAAAAAGAGATTACTTCTTAAAGATTGCTTTCATGTAGAAGAGAGTGGTAAGCCTGTGAACTCTGAACTCAACTGATGCAAATGAGGAAATCTATGAACAAAATGTTATTAATGAATATTCAGATGATCTATCAAACTCAAAACACTTGCAGACTAGGTTTTTAAGGTCATCTAAATGCCAAAGGATACGGGTAGGCATTTTTTGAATCATTCCTCAACTAAGTGTCTAACTCCAGATGACTGAAAAACGTAAATTTCCTGTCAATCCTCTACATGCCTGTCTATATCTTTGGATTCTTAAGTGAAGTTAAAAGCTGGTGCATCATACTGAAACAAGGAATTTTCACAAGCTTGAATGCCTATAGATGAGTGACACAATTGTGACAGGCAAAAGGTTGGTCGGTTGTGTTTGTTGTTTTAAAAAACACACTCCGCAATAATTTTCCATAGTTCAACTCAAACACTGGCCTGAACCATCTCCTCTCTTCCTTGTGAGAAAAGACCATCAAGATCTAGAAATCTTTGCTGGAGAAGTGGAGATCGCAGAATGGAAGCCTATGCTGACCCTGGGGTTTCTCACTGGAAGAGGGTGGCTTGGCCTAGAGCTTCCATACAGCTTACCACTTGACTGTGTAGTTCTGCTGCATGTATAAATGGTGCATAGCAGTGTCAGATTTAGTAACGGGCATTTAACAATTGGGATAGTTCACAGAATGACCTTCCAATTTAATTAAAGTTGTAAAATGGTGTCACCTCTCTGGAATCAACCTTTTTAGTCCGAGACAGGTGTTCCAGAAAGGGATCATAGTATAATTGAACGGTTCCTCAATTTAGAAACTAAGAAGCTGTAAAAAGAAAAGTTCCAATTTTGAAATCTAATTAAAATGGTCAATTGTATAGTTTCTTTTGCTGACTTTTAAATGATACTAACACATTGCAACATTTTGAGTCATTTAAAGATCTACTCAGTGTAACATGATTAATGTTTTCCAATAGAAAATTGATTACTAACATTTACATCAAAATAAACCACCTGACTTATTTTAAGACTGGGTAGTTTAACTATAATGGACAGTAAGATTACTTTCAACTTTGCATTAAATTGCATTAATCTTGCAAACATAAGCTTGTGGTTTCCATGTTTCACTCCCTCACTAGCAACTGAAACATTTCAAGTTAGAAGTATGCTCTGATTACGTATTGATCTACATTAAATATAGGGTACATAGGAAAAAATCTTAGCAAGTTTTTTTTCTTTTTTTTCTTTTTTTTTTTTACAGGGCACCCAACCAAAATCTGTACAAAAGATAAGATAGTTACCCATTCTTTAATATAATAGATGCAGATGCTACTTTCTATAAATGTACCCTCATGTTCACTTGCCAATAAAATAGTAAACAAATCAGCTTTTTAAATCATTTTTTTAATAAATTATTAGAGTATTTTTACTGACACTCTCCAACAATATACAAAAATAATACTACAAGAGTACCAATCAGTCTGACCTACCCCTCATTTCACGGAAAAGTAGATGTTACGTAAGGGCATTCCTGCAATCAGTCATCACTGTAGATGTCTCCTGCAAATGGCAGGTGTACGTGGCTGCCCGTGACGTTGGGAAGTCGAGAGAGGTCAGGCAGGTTCTGGATACGCGTTCTGAGTTCTTTCCGTACCTGGGACACTCTGGCTAGCTTGCGTTTGTATTCCTGTAATGTAGAAGAATTCATCAAGAGATTCATCTACAAATACCATCCCTTGTTTTTACCGCTTTTGGCATTTTCCAAATTAAAGTATTCCTTAAGCAAGTTAGATGACTCAATATCCTTACATAGGAGAGAACCCAGAAAACTGGATTATTTGGGAGGTGGAGCCATCAGCTCTGGCATCTGACTTTGAGAGGGTAACTATGGTTTGAATACTGTAAGTTCATAAACATTAAACAAGGAAAACAATCCTAATTAACACAATTACACATCTTTCCATGCAACTAGTAGAATGGGATTATTCTTAGAAACTCCACTGAGGATAGAACACATACATATTCTACTAATGCTCAAAGAGTACAGAAGGATAAACTCACTGATGTCAAAGAAGTTACTTCCACTTTGTACTGATTAAAAAAACAAAGACACCAAATACCATCTGACCATGACAAGCCCCACCAATCTGACCATTCATAAATATTTGGTGTTAACATTCATAATAAATATATTGTTTCATTGATTTTATGAATCTAACCCTGAATTTTCAGAAACCTCATGAATTGGAAATTGAAGACTTCACACTGTACTGAAACACAGATCAAATCACTTGTAACTCATACATGATTAGGAGGCACTTTTTACATGAAACAACATTATTCAAGATGTATTTAACACTGTAAAGCAGTGTACTTTAATATAGATAGTGCTTACCTATACTAGATATAATGGGGAAGACCAGCAGCACATATGAAATAAGAACAGTTATTCCAAAATGTAAGAAGATCAAATTGCTGTTTATAGGATCATTTACAGTTGAAAGACCTGCAAACATTTTTCACTGGAGACACTAAGCATTAGCAAGCAAAGCATGAAAATATACTGTATGTTATAACATATGAAATGTAGTGCTTTCTAATCTGCTCGCAAATTTTGCTGCAGTTAAGAAATAGCTGGGAATAACAAGAAATAGTTAAACACAAATTTAAACATTTGCCTACACTGCTAATAGACTGAAATAAAACGAAAGGACAAAAAAAGACCTTTTGGTAGTGTAGAACCCATATAGAAGTACAAATGTTACATAACTGAGCACAATCAAATTCCTGGACAAGCTCCAACACACACAAATAGAAAGTTTGCTGCTGTAAGTGGCTGTGTGGCCCTCTTCCCAAGGGCAGTAATAGAACCACAAAAAATCTTAAATTCTTAATGAGAATGTAATGAACTTCTTAAAATAAATAGAAAATAAAATTAAAACTCCACATAGAAAGAACAAAGTGTTCCAGAACTAAATAAATTCCTTGATGTCACCAAGGTTTAAAATTTAGTAATTACATGCAGATCAATCCTATGGGTTAATAAATAAAATGATAAAAACAAAGACACAGAGCCAGCAGAACTTTAAACATTTGGTGACTGTATACACGGCAAAACAGCATTTTTTCACAGTGCAGATGATAAAAAATACTCTATAATTCCAAGCCTATTGTTCCTAGGAAAACAATTACTTTTTCTCATTTATCCAAAACATCCTCACTGGTGTAAGTGATTTCAGCAAGTGGGGGTGGAAATAAAGGACTGTATCCTGACACTGTGTCCTCACAGACATACCCAAAGTCTCCATTACTTGACAGCATAGAGTATGGAATTGAGTATTTTGTGAATCTAATGCTAAGAATATATGGATCCAACATCTAGACTAACAGCATTTCCCTACTGAGAGAAAATAAAAAAAAAATTTAAAAAAAAAAAAAAAAAAAAAAGCAAGCAGGCAAGAAAGCCAAGTAATTTTAGATTAATCAGATACTAACATTAAGAAAAATAAAAATGTGGGAAGGCCAACTGAAATAGGTTGAAAAATATAGAGTTTCTGCAAACGTTAAGAGATGTGCTTTAGCTAAAGACATGCTACTTGGAAAGTAATGGCAATGTGTTCCCTTCTCAACATTAAAATGACCCTGATCTCCCATCTGATCACGACTGCTGCTGTGTGCATCAAAATACTGTGTGGCAGCAAATGCATTAAAAGGGAAAGAAAAGCAAACAAACAAAAAAATCTCACCATGCCTGACTCCAAAGAAGGAATCAAAGATTCAAAGAAAACACAGATAGTTAATCTGCACACTTGCTGGTCATAGGAAAAAACAAGCAAGCAAGTAAAAAAACACAGTAGATAAGGTGCAAATCAACACTCATAAAACAAAGGGCAAAAAATAAACCTAAACAGGCTAAAAAGAGTTACCAGAAGTTTTGGGCATGAGAATACATATGTTTCTGTGGTGGTGGGTACATCGGTTTGAGACCACTGACTTTCAGGGCCGGTTCCAATCTCTCAAGCTCAGGTACAGACACAGGCCTTGTACCACGGAGCAAAGGCTGCTCACAGGCTGTGTGCATTGCTAACAACCTGCAAAGATTCAGACAAAGGCAAGTACGTCCTGGTATCTCAGTGTTAAGACACACGGCAGTTATGTATAGGTTAATGCCACCCCTAGTTGGAGCTTTTTGTGCAAGAAAGCACAACTAGACTTAGAGGTGCCAGGTAAGCCTTGCTATCACTCCAGAAAATATAAGAGCACAGCTAAATTCTGTGCTGTCCTTAAAAACACAATATGGCTCACATCACACACTAATATGATTAAAAGCTCAGCTTATTTGTTAAGGATGAACAATATACTAAAATAACAACATTTAAAACACTGAACAGAGTCTGAATAAATCTGTATGCACCACACACAAGCTAAAGTTTTAACAAATCACATAGGGCTATCTTGGATAATCTTCCATTACAATTACCATTTTTGCCTGTTAGCTCAAAACAGATTTCTGAAAGTAAACTCCCACTTGCCAGTTTGCATCCACATCAGTTTGCCATCAGGCCTTACCACATCTGCTGCAAAATAAACAGCACTGAAACAATGAGCAGCAGTGACTGCTTTGGTTATCTCATGGTATTCTATCTATTGTCTCAAGTATGATATTCAAATTCTGCCTCTATACAGGTTTACTAATATTCTTACAGGTTTCCTAAAGGCATACTTCACCATTACAAAGCACAATTTGCTCTTCAGGAAACATCTTTGAGCTGGTAATGCATCCTCTAATTTGCAGTATCTAGGAGTTTTTTAATAATTTAAACTGCCAAGAATTTAACACTTCAAAGCAAATTTTTAAAATTAACTTAAAAGATTATAGACTCCTTGGCTTGTTTGCAAATGAAGCAACAAGAAAGAGTGAACTCAGAAGTCTGAAACACACAAGCTACATCAGTGACCATCTCAGGGGCTTCATTAAGCAACTTTTGATGACGAATACACTACAGATCTTCAAACTGCACATTTTACCAAGACATTTCCCATCTGAAGGTTAAGTACCAGAAACACAAAGACCTTCACAGTGGTCACAAACTGCTTTTTTCACTCCTTCAAAATACAACTTCTTTATTCATCTCCTTCCAGCCTAGTCTTGGGTCTCAGACCCCACTTACTCCAGTCTTTACTCCTAGTCTCTATCCCTGCTCCCCAAGTACTCTTCGCAGAACAAATTTCTGTCCAACAAGGCTGTTCAGTGCCTTTCTTATCCACTGTTATGACTGTATTCACCTCCTATATATGAATTTCTCCCTCTCCAGACCTGGTCTGCACTTACCGCTTGGTCTGTAGGCTTGGCTGCTTCTGGTTCCAGTTCCATGTATTTCTCCGCAATCCTTTATTCAGCCTGTCCGTTCTCTGCCTACATAGTATCTACATCAGATGACGCTTTGTCATGACGCTTTGTTTTCTTGGTCAGTCACTGCCTCTCTTCTCAATGAGCTGATCTCTTTTTTCTTCCATGGCCAGGCTCTGTATTTCATTCTTTACTGTAACATCTAGTCCTGATTCTTTAATATGTGGCTCCCAGTGCCAGGCTCTAGAGGCACTTGTTCAAGTTCTGTGCTCAAATCCATCAGCTTCTCTTCCCTGTTACTCAAACTCACAGGAACTACTGACAATCCACCTAAGGAAGAAATTCTCTGCTCTCATACCACAACCTTGGTCCACGGCCAGCCTAGAGACCAGCTCTCTACAGCTGCAATCACAGGAGAAGTCTTCTTTTGCCCAAGCTACAAAAAAACTCTCTAGTAAGAAAGCTCTTTGTGGAGGTCAGTAATGTCTAAAAAATCACTGATAAACATATTAAAAGATTTCTTTTCCAATGGCTTGTAATTTCATTAAATCCACATTGATTTTTATTTGCATAATAAAATGGCTGCCCCTGATAAAAAGAATGGTTTTCCCACTCCATTATACTTTGAGAAAGAACATTAATAATGCCATCTCAAAGGAAAGGTCATTTTTTAATGGTTGTTTCATTACAAACTCATCTTAAGCTTTATCCTTAAAAACTGTGTTAGCAAAAAGTTTGTCAGTATTTGGGAAAGTTAAAGAAAACAGGGACTTGTAGGCTAACTTACAAGCATTATTACTACGTCTACTTGGTTTATATTTACATCCAATACTAAAAGGTTAAATTTAAAGGTTAAATTAATTTTCTGTGTTGTCATCCAATATGGGATTTTTACCTCGTTAAAATATAACCATTATAATAAACTTGAAAGTACACAGTTCCAAGAGATGTTTAAGTTACTCTGAATTCATGAGCTTAAAATCTTGTCTAATAGAACAAAGTTCATAAGAACTTCTGATGGCAAGGAATCAGGCACTTCAGTACAGTTCAGTGCAACTGAGCTCAAATATTCAAGCTGATACTCTATAAGGACACACATGAGATAAAACAGAAAAGTTCTGAAAACGATAAAATAAAAAATGAAGTGGCCTCGGGCTTCAAGATAACTTCTTAAAGTTTCACAAATACTCTGAAAGAAATTATAGTATATCAGGGTTCAACTTCAAAGGAATCTATGCATGAGAAAATTTTACGGTCTACTGGAAAAAAAACATGTCCTTAGCAATGTATTTAATGTATTTAGGAACAACTGTGTGAAGTCTTCAGGCTCAAATATT